CAGTTGTGAATGGTGAAAGCCCTATGGACACGGAGTTACAGTTGTGAATGGTGAAAGCCCTATGGACACAGAGTTACAGTTGTGAATGGTGAAAGCCCTATGGAAACGGAGTTTCAGTTATGAATGGTGAAAGCCCTATGAACACAGAGTTATAGTTGTGAATGGTGAAAGCCCTATTCACACGGAGTTACAGTTGCGAATGGTGAAGGCCCTATGGACACGGAGTTTTAGTTGTGAATGGTGAAGGCCCTATGGACACGGAGTTACAGTTGTGAATGATGAAAGCCCTATGAACACAGAGTTTCAGTTGTGAATGGTGAAAGCCCTATGGACACGGAGATACAGTTGCGAATGGTGAAATCCTTATGGACACGGAGTTACAGTTGTGAACGGTGAAAGCCCTATGGACACGGAGTTATAGTTGTGAATGGTGAAAGCCCTATGGACGCCGAGTTTTAGTTGTGAATGGTGAAGGCCCTAAGGACACAGAGTTACAGTTGTGAATGGTGAAGGCCCTATGGACACGCAGTTTCAGTTGTGAATGGTGAAAGCCCTATGGTGAATGGTGAAAGCCCTATGGACACGGAGATACAGTTGCGAATGGTGAAATCCTTCTGGACACGGAGTTACAGTTGTGAACGGTGAAAGCCCTATGGACACGGAGTTACAGTTGCGAATGGTGAAGGCCCTATGGACACGGAGTTACAGTTGGGAATGATGAAAGCCCTATGAACACAGAGTTGAATGATGAAAGCCCTATGAACACAGAGTTGAATGATGAAAGCCCTATGAACACAGAGGTTCAGTTGTGAATGGTGAAAGCCCTATGGTGAATGGTGAAAGCCCTATGGACACGGAGTTTCATTTGTGAATGGTGAAGGCCCTATGGACACGCAGTTTCAGTTGTGAATGGTGAAAGCCCTATGGTGAATGGTGAAAGCCCTATGGACACGGAGTCTCAGTTGTGAATGGTGAAAGCCCTATGGACACAGAGTTACAGTTGCGAATGGTGAAGGACTTATGGACACGGAGTTACAGTTGTGAATGATGAAAGCCCTATGAACACAGAGGTTCAGTTGTGAATGGTGAAAGCCCTATGGCCACGGAGATACAGTTGCGAATGGTGAAATCCTTCTGGACACGGAGTTACAGTTGTGAACGGTGAAGGCCCTATGGACACGGAGTTATAGTTGTGAATGGTGAAAGCCCTATGGACACCGAGTTTTAGTTGTGAATGGTGAAGGCCCTAAGGACACAGAGTTACAGTTGTGAATGGTGTAAGCCCTATGGACACAGAGTTACAGTTGCGAATGGTGAAGGACTTATGGACACGGAGTTACAGTTGTGAATGATGAAAGCCCTATGAACACAGAGTTTCAGTTGTGAATGGTGAAGGCCCCAGGGACACGGAGATACAGTTGTGAATGGTAAAAGCCCTATGGACACGGAGATACTGTTGTGAATGGTGAAAGCCCTATGGACACGGAGTTACAGTTGTGAATGGTGAAAGCCCTATGGACACGTAGATACAGTTGTGAATGGTAAAAGCCCTATGGACACGGAGGTTCAGATGTGAATGGTGAAGGCCCTATGGACACGGAGTTTCAGATGTGAATGGTGAAAGCCCTATGGACACGGAGTTTCAGTTGTGAACGGTGAAAGCCCTATGGACACGGAGTTACAGTTGTGAATGGTGAAAGCCCTATGGACGCGGAGTTACAGTTGTGAATGGTGAAAGCCCTATGGACACGGAGTTTCAGATGTGAATGGTGAAAGCCCTATTGACACGGAGTTTCAGTTGTGAACGGTGAAAGCCCTATGGGCACGGAGTTACAGTTGTGAATGGTGAAAGCCCTATGCTAAACCTTCTTTCCTCCCCCTGTTAATATTTACTCTGGAGAATTTACACAAGACTTTGGCGCTCCGACATCTCCTTGTGAACAGGTAGGTAGGCTGGTGCTTTCTCCTGATACCTTACCTAAAGTGTACGTTTGTACGTCATCTTGTTTGCTATTCACAGTAACACCATATTACACGATATTCAAAATTGAAACATTCAGTTTCCTTTCTCTTCCAACAATTAAACTTTGATAAGATGGTGGTTTTTTTTGTATATGAAGATCTGTTATCGTAGACTCAAACATATCTGAAATATTGTCCTTAACATTCTCCACTTTTTTAAAAAAATGCTTTTAATCTCAACAACCCTAAGCATTTATGACTAATCAATGAAATTACATATCTTGTCAATTAAACAAAGTGATTAACATAATAACCAATGGTGTATTTTAACTAACATTAATAAAATAAGGTATTTATGGACAATAAATGCATCAGAAAATACAGATTAGTAATGAATTGCTTAACTAGTTTAAGAAACAACAGATACCGAGTAGTATTAAAATGTTGTGGAAGCGTACCACAGGGTGTTATCGTTAATTGTAGCGTACGACAGGGTTTTATCGTTAATTGTAGTGTACAACAGGGTGTTATCGTTAATTGTAGCGTACAACAGGGTGTTATCGTTAATTGTAGCGTACAGCAGGATGTTATCGTTAATTGTAGCGTACAACATGGTGTTATCGTTAATTACAAGGTGTTATCGTTAATTGTAGCGTACAACAGGGTGTTATCGTTTATTGTAGAGTACAACAGGGTGTTATCGTTAATTGTAGCGTACAACAGGGTGTTATCGTTAATTGTAAGATAATGATCACATTCTTGCTCTTCTTTTCGAATTCCTCGACTCACCGTTCTCCAGCACGTCAGAATTGTTCTAGTACATCTGTCCGCTCCGATAACTATTACTAAGGAACAAGTCCAGTTAATGTTAGTATTACATAGGACGTCACGGTTCATTGATTAACAAGAAACAGATGAACAAGAACAAACAATAGAATCACTTAGCAGTCATTTTTGTCCACGAACGCGCGCACACCAAGTAGCGTAGTATATAGAGACATTTTCATTACACCTGTACATAATCATTTCTAATTTTATTACTCAGTTTGATATATTTTGCTACATTTTGTTAAGTGCGAGCGAGCACCCATCCGGCCACATGCCACGCTTTATGTTGCTGAACTTGTGAGTGTATCCCAGGTTCCTTCTTGCTAACTGTTTTCAACTGATGAATGAAATCGATATATACTTCCTAGGTTTGTATTAAGGCAATATTTCTCAGGCAACCTGACAAAGGTAATCAAGAACGATGTTTTCCATGTATGTTCCACTTTAATGCACAAAAGTAAACAATAACAGTAAAACAATGACCACTGCCCTGATATTGTACTGTCGGATAATGTAGATTTGCAAATTAACAACGTCAAAAAATTAACTGAAACGCAGTTTTCGGCTGGTATTTTAAGATTTGAACGAAGGAATTTTACAGCCTTTTAAAGGAGATCTTGCATAATCATATTGAATAGGACCAGAACAGACGGAATGAAGATGGTCATCTACTGTGTTCGGTTTATTAGACAGAGAAATCTATTCAGGGAATTCGAACAGCTATAGATCCACTATATTATTTAGAACGGAACGAAGAATTATGAATTTAGAGAAAGGATGGCTTGGCCTTTGAAGTGGTGTCTGCTTAGAATTTGCAGTGTGACTTGATAAGTTTATAATTTACAGCTGTGATCGTACAACACACAAAAAATACCACAAACAATCGATCGCCCCGTTGTGCAATTTGTTAAGAACGATTGGAATGAAATGAAAACAATCCTGATGGCTAGTGTGAAATAGGGTATATTGTATGCGGGTTTCATATCCGATCGGTATATTTGGTACTTTATCAAATTATGTTGTTCCTGTTACACATTATTCCAATGACTGTAAAACAGTCAATAATGGGTTCGTACCAGCACATTGTGAATGACAATGATTGCCGAGTAGAGTAGTCCGCTAAAACTTACCACAATCACGCGTACGGGTTCTAAAATTCTGATCGGGTCGCCCGTTTATGGTCAGCTGTCTACTGCTCTAGATCTATTAACACTAGGATTTGTCGCTGAAATCTGGCGACAGAGATTGTGAGAGTTTTGTATATATGTAAGAAGATTCTACATGTTAAGAATTCAAAATGCAATGCCATGATGCATTTAATTGGGAAAATTTCCTGTTGTAGACATTAGTAACCCTACGATAATATGCCGGTTCGAAATTGCTAAGTCCAATTACTGTATATTGAAAACTGCATCTAAAGTTTTACTGAAACCGCCCTAAAAATGATGTTTACTTTGGGTTGAGTATGTTGAAATAGGTTTTACAACTTGTTATTGTGATGTTTATCCGTACACTGAACAGAATTACAACAACTTTACTACATTGATTTCAGAAGTTACAATCCTGTTAGAGTTCAAAACAGCTAAAAGGATGAAAACTTGTATTTTCTCAATGAAACGTATTACCTTTTATTCCGTGTTATTTGTGTGTTGAACTTTTTGAACCACGAATAAAACTTAAGAAAAAAGTTCCCACCTTCTTTATCGGGAACCTATTTCGTCATACTAAAACTACTGCACTTTAGGTTATTATTCCAAAAGCTTAAAAGCATGAATTTCCTTTTTGATATGACTACAAATGATTTTTTTTATAATGCACGTAAAGAGTCATGTCATGTTTTGGAAAATTCACCTTTACAGATATTTAATGACTTATATTGTTTTACAACATATGATCTGATTTATTTGTCACTTCCGGTTGGTTGACTGGGGAGTTTTCTATGACTATCTCCTGTTCTCTGTACGTGTATCCGTACACCGCTATAATATACTTAGATAACACTGCTGCAGCAGTATAAACCAGCAAAAGAACTATGCTCTCCGCCAGTAACAGCAACGCGAACCAAATGTCGGCCAGATTCTCCATCATATTGCCGAGTATAACAGGATTAATAGCAGTTAAAGCAGTTATCACAAAAAACACCATAGCCGATATTTTACCACTTACAGGGGAGACAATCTCTTCAATCCAGGAAAACACACTCGGCAAGATGGCCGACTTGCCGAATCCGAATCCAAGTGCGGAAATATATACTCCCATACTGGATACATGTACAGCGCTTATGTACAGTCCTACAAACGACAACATCGTAACGAAACAATGGAACCCAACAAGAGTCATGGGACTGATGAACTGTATTATCACTACTGCCAATATCCTTCCGACAACTACAATTGAACAAGAGGCTGACGATAATACCGCCCCTTGGGACTTAGTCCATTTGAGGTATTTCACACAGAACGTGGTCAGAAATCCTAGGAACGTATCGTCTATACAACAGATAAGTCCCGATATACTGACCAACAACCCTAGTGCCAAACATTTCATTGATCTTGGGAGATCTCTGGTATTATAATCCTTGGAGACGCTTAATTCAGGAATGACATCTTGCGTTTGCCGCTCAAAACGGAAGTAGAATGCAAGAAATGCTAAACAGGCGAACACGCTAAATATTGTGGTAAACATATAGGACAGGTACAGTTGTGATTTCTCATTTGTAATATGATCTGTAGACTTTGAAACATTCGTAGACATGTTGTGCAATGCACTTTCAAAACAGGTCAGATTAGTCGATAATGTTGTTTCATTGGATGTATAGAGAAATGAATCGATGTCAGATTCGTTTCGCCGGAAGTCCGTTGGTACTGAAGAGGACAAGAAAGGCGCAGCAATGAGTGGAGAAACTGTCACTCCTATAGCGTACAGCAGCTGCATCCCCTGCATGTAAGGGCGGCCGTCCTTTCCCCAGGTATACTGCAGGTCCCCGCTAGCAACTGCAACAAAATGTAGACGTGTTTAACCTTACCTGTTGTTGATAACCTTACCAAACCTTCCTACAGAACACAAGTCCAATACGAACTAATTTGAACATTAATGTTACTGTGGATGAAAACCAGAGTTCCCGGGGGAAAACCCAACGTGGTCGGGAGGGTGAACAACCAGAGTTCCCGGGGAAAAACCCAACGTGGTTGGGAGGGTGAACAACCAGAGTTCCCGGGGGAAACCCAACGTGGTCGGGAGGGTGAACAACCAGAGTTCCCGGGGGAGAATAAAACATGGTCGGGAGGGTGAACAACCAGAGTTCCCGGGGGGGAAACCCAACGTGGTCGGGAGGGTGAACAACCAGAGTTCCCAGGAGGAAACCCCAACGTGGTCGGGAGGATGAACGACCAGAGTTCCCGGGGGAAACCCAACGTGGTCGGGAGGGTGAACAACCAGAGTTCCCGGGGGAAAACCCAACGTGGCCGGGAGAGTCAACGACCACAGTTCCTGGGGGAAAACCCCAACGTGGTCGGGAGGGTGAACAACCAGAGATCCCTGGGGGAAACCCCAACGTGGTCGGGAGGGTGAACCTCACGTGGTCGGGAGGGTCAACAACCAGAGCTCCCGGGGGGAAACCCAACCTGGTCGGGAGGGTCTACAACCAGAGTTACAGGGGGGAAACCCAACGTGGTCGGGAAGGTCAACAACCAGAGTTCCTGGGGGGAACCCAACGTGGTTGGAAGGGTGAACAACCAGAGTTCCCGGGGGAAACCCAACGTGGTTGGAAGGGTGAATGACCAGAGTTCCCGGGGGAGAACAAAACATGGTCGGGAGGGTGAACAACCACAGTTCCCGGGGGGAAACCCAACCTGGTCGGGAGGGTCAACAACCACAGTTCCCGTGAGGAAACCCCAACGTGGTCGGGAGGGTGAACAACCAGAGTTCCTGGGGGAAAACAAAACATGGTCGGGAGGGTGAACAACCAGAGTTCCCGGTGGGAGGGGGGGGGAACCCCAGCGTGGTTGGGAGGGTGAACAACCGGAGTTCCCGGGGGAAAACCCAAAGTGGACGGGAGGGTGAACAACCAGAGTTTCCGGGGGAAACCCCAACGTTATCGGGAGGGTGAACAACCAGAGTATCCGGGGGAAACCCCAACGTTATCGGGAGGGTGAACAACCAGAGTTCCCGGGGGAAACCCAACGTGGTCGGGAGGGTGAACCCCACGTGGTCGGGAGGGTAAACCCCACGTAGTCGGGAGGGTGAACCCCGTACCTTTTCATCCCCAATTATTTTATCAGGGTTTTATGTTCATAACAAAAGGAAATGCGTTGATAACGGTTAACAACTGAACTCAATTTTATTTGTTATGATGGCAAATCAATGCATTAAAAATTGAATTAATTTCGCATTCGGCTTTTGTCCTTGAAATATATAGTCTAATAAGTTGTCAATCAATCGATAGGAAACCAGTTAAAAAAGAAAATCGGAAAAGTCAGAAGTGGTTTATTCGATGGTTGTCAATTCTCAAAGCTGTTGTCTTACTACTGCTAGTCATAAGGAAACTCATAAACATGACGAAATCGAAAGCAATAGGCAATTATAATACAAACGAACAAGCGGACATTACCAGAATCAGTCACTCCTAAGCTTAACCCGAACAGTGAGAAGGCGACGAGCATAAGCCAATAGAAAGAACACCAAGGTATTGCCAATGTGGCGACGGCCAACAGGATATTCGAGCCTGCTAGGATGAACGTTCTCCTCATCTTGTTGTAGATTACTCCGCCCAAACAGGCCCCGGCCATATACACTGCGTAGACAGTGGTAAGGAGAGCAGCACCTTCTGTAAGACCGACCCCGCTGATGATTTGGAGGTCTATTAGAGAGGGTCCTATTTGACCTTTAGCAAATCCCTGCAAATAATATACAGTGGATTTAACATGACATTTAGACATTGATTAACTAAACCCGCGTGACATTATTGAAATATTCGAGAATATACGAAAGCAGGCATGGAAGTTTATAGAAATATTGAACGATAAAATGAAAAGAAACAGCAACAAAGCGCAACCATTTAAGTGATATCCACACTAGACCTAAACCTCTAAAGGAAGGGACTATTATACAGTACGACTTGCAAACATTTGAAACAATTTCCTATCGAACGTGGTTATATGAATGCACCCCCTTTCAGTTCTGTTGCCGTGAGTAATGCTATCCAATGACGGGTTATTGAAACGACCCCTTCCCAGAAAAGACATCATGTTTATGACTCGACGTGTAGCTGCCGTGGTGACTATATTTACCACATCCCCCAAACAACAAAATAAACAGTGGCAAAATTGATTTCAGGAAATTGTTTTGAAAAAGAAATTTGTGTTTGTGTCAAGACTAAGAATCTGTACGTGTTAGTCAGTATGTGTGGTCAGTATGTGTGGTCAGTATCGTGTTGTCCTATCTTTACACATGTTCTGTCTTTATGTTGTCTAGTTAACGAGGACGGAATCCCCATTAGTCCGACATCTCCAGGTCGTGTATCGTTTTACGGTAACCCTGCTACGGAAATATGTACTGCCTTCAACTTCCTAACCAGAGATCACAGGTACCAGACACTCGACAACTATCTATAATGATTACTGTAATGGTCGATGTAATAACTCTCTATTTCTACAGTAGAATAGTATGTGGTTCTGACCCCTGTGTTGCGAAAACCAATATGCCTAGAGATATTTGGAAAGTCTATCTTAACAGAAGAACCATTACAACGGGATCATACATTTATTTTTCGCCAATTACTTCATTAGTCCGACATTGTTTAAGAATATTTCAACATCAAACCTAAAAGACCAGCTTTACAATAAAACTTGATTTCAAACAATAATCTGTCTATCATTTGATACCCTCTTGATTAATATCACTATGACTGGTACATTAAATTGCATATTTATTAAAACATCTAAGTTAATCATGTTTTCAAATATCTGTCAGTTGCAAATAAACATGGCTATGTATTATTATGAATGATTAAAAATAAATGTCTTTTAACGCTATGAACTATGGATGATAATGTTCTAGTAATTAAAGGAAATGACGTTCAGTCAGTTAAATTGGTGTTTTTGACTTACTAGTGTAAATAGTGATAAATACAGGCAGGCCGACCTCGTGATATTCTGTCGGAATAAAGGTTCCTTTTTATATCTGACGACCACGTTACCGCACGTGCCGGATCCGGAATGACAGCACGTGAAGGTAGAACACGCACCGGATTGAAGTCCTTCGTTCGAGTCCACGGATCGGTAATCGATCCCAAATGTTTCCTGTTCAGACATAATTTACCCTGTAACATTTAAAAGTAAAACTTTTTTTTCAAATCCGTCAATAAGGTAAGACCAACATTATACTTACAATTCAGCCACTGGGAACGCTAATTAATTGATTATTGACTGCTAAGATTCAATTATATATTAATATACAAGATACCGTGTCACTACTACACCATTCAATACAACTACTTAATGTCATGCACCTATTAAGACCGACTTATTTACACCTGACAGAGATTCTGTCGATGTTGTTATAGAGTTCACAGAGGAACTGTTGGTGAAATATAAAAATAAATACTTATAATAAGAGATATTGAGCCATCAATACCGACATACATTATCATCACACATAACAGATTTATTTAATTAAAATGATATTTACTTCTAATAATGCATCTTCAAACGCTGTTACTCTTTATGAGAATACCGAAGCAAAAATGGCATTTTTTTCAAATATACTAACATTAACAACTGAAACTGTAACCAAGGCGTTCAAAACCACAATAGGATATTAAAACAAACAGCAGTTATAGATTTATAAATAGTTAAGAAATGTATAATGGTACAATGGTCAAACATGTTTGTATCTGATATCGGCTATAGATTTTATCCAGGGTTTATCTTTTGATAGATCGAAACTACATCTGCTGATGTCACAATACTCTTCGACGTCATACTTGAATTATGACGTCTTGCATCGATTATTTCCTAATGAAAGAATGTGTTAAGAAGCTTGTTTTTTCTTATTAATCTCTGTCGTGACAGCTGATCATGACGTTTATCCTTTCTCCTGATTTAATTTTTTGCAAATATAAGCTGTTCGGTGAAGTTGACGAGTAATACTTGAAAAGTTCATCTCCGGAATGAATATAAATTGCAATCATTTGCCGTTGTATATCTTACGTGTAAAACATGAAGCTGAAGACGTTTGATAAAAAAAACTGATGGCGAACGGATGTGTTTATACTACACAATAATGTTCACAACAACTATGTAACAAGTTATCCAACTTATACAAATCATTCTTGTTGAACCGGATTAAAGCGCACAGAGGAACCTAATGTGAGAAGAAGGACGAGGTACTCTGAGAAAACCCACGTGGTTGGGCACCCGAACTTTTACTTTTTCACGTCCGATTGGAGAATAGAACCCCTGCCGCTTTTCACTTCGCCCCCCGCCCGCCGTATATAGCATTTAATTGAAACATCAAAACAATGAATAAACATTTTTCATTCGCCTCTACTAGATAATTGATATAAAGTGTATCGTTGCTGATGCGCTTAGTTGGAAACGCTACTGCAGGTGGTGTTCCAAATGCGCACGCTGCTGAAAGTTGCATACATGACCTCGAGTTCCAAAGGTTCTATAGGGCATATAGTTAATCAACATGCTGTCCTTTAACTATGTTATGTACATGTACGTGTCCATAATATAAATAGCATTGGTAAACATTCCTATGATGCATATTTCTAGTTTGGATAAATAAAAATAAAAACTTTGTATTTACCTCGGATAAATCCCTGTTTATGTAATAAAATTATGTATCTGTGAAAATCAGTGGAGTATTTTGTTCACAATCTTACAATTTAGAAAACTTAATCAATTGTTTAACGAATCTAATGGGCTGGCTGGTTGCTTTTCCTTGTCAGTTTTTAGTGACTTCAGCGCCATTGATTGTTCACTTTCCTAGTGAGTTTTTGATGAACTAAATTAGTTGATTTGGTGAATTGAGAGATATACCAAGACGGAAATTTGATATTTTATAAATATGCACGTCAAAAGTATAATATTGTTTACAGAGTGATACCCTTAACATGTTGTAAATAGTTAAAAATCGATACAAATACAGACAGGAAACCAGATACCAGCTAATTCTAGCAACCCGAAAATATTTATAGCTGTAATGACAGCTTTTGTAAAAAAAAAAAAAAAAAAAGACACATATTTCAAATGTGTGGGTTCCTCTGTTACTTGTTTTTTCCCTGTCAATGTTTGCCAGTGGTTAATAAATATTTACAGTGAAGGTGTTTGTCGTTTGTTTGTTTGAGATACCGTCACCAGTAAATGTACTGAACCGAAAGTTTTGGAGGCCTCACGAGTGATACCTATTACCCACACCTACCCATAGCTTAGCTGATGCATCTTGTTTTAAGAGTTTGCATCCTCTGCAATCCATCACGAACAGGTGTTATTTAAGAGTCGGTCATGGTTTTGACTTCTACGTGACTGGAACTCCAGATAAACACGTTTGCTATTGAGTGGATACGTCATCACTATAGAGATACAGAGGTTGATTGAGCACACATGTGTAATACGTCATCACTATAGAGATGCAGAGGTTTACTGAGCACACGTGTGTAATACGCCATAACTATAGAGATACAGAGGTTTACTGGGCACACGTGTGTAATACGTCATCACTATAGAGATGTAGAGGTTTACTGAGCACACGTGTGGTATCATCACTATATAGAGATACAGAGATTAATTGAGCACACGTGCGTAATACGGCATCATTATAGAGATACAGACGTTTACTGAGCACACGTGTGCAATACGCCATAACTATAGAGATACAGAGGCTTACTGAGCACACGTGTGTTATCATCACTATAGAGATACAGAGGTTTACTGAGCACACGTGTGTACAGCGTGGTCATTACGCTAGCTACGTTTATACGTACTGTGCTTGATTGGTTCACGTGTGGAATATACATACTAGTGTTAAGTGACTTGGTATGTTACAGTTATTTGAAGGTACAAGTCAATAGTTTTTATAGTGTATGTTAAATCAAAAGTTTAAAATTCGTATATTGACGACATTAAATCACCAAATAAGGATGTATGAGATAGGTTTGTACACGTGATAATTAAATATGGCTGCCACTTACATAATCTTCTTGCATGTGATGTATAATATGTAAACTATGCGTCTTAATATTAGTTTAAGTTTCATGTTGTATCAAGGATCAGTTGGTTTGGAGAATAGAGACCAAAGACTGTATACTCGTTTCAATCATTATTTGTTTACATATGAGGAGTCTTACCTGGATGACAGCCGATGGTAGGTCACATGCTATAAACCCTAACAACACACTTTGTGCATAAACTCCTGAAGCCTTACAACATGGCTAATGCTTATACGTTACTGTGTAAGTACTCTAGTCTCGGTCAACCAGACGCTTGATCTCTGCTCGGCGTAGCTTGCGCAGACAACAAGAATCTGGTTGAACTAAACTAGAAGTACTCATACATGTACCCTGTATCACACATAGTGATAGTGTGAGGTTACCTGTGTAACACTAAACGTGAGAACTCATACTCGATCAGTCTTACACAGACATCATGTAGACTTAGTCTGCGTTTAAGAGACGCATGAATTGTCGTGGGCTTAAAAAAAAAAAATTTGAATCGTTATTCGTTAAGGTGAGCGTTTTATATGGGTTTTTGTCCTAATATGTATCATCACGCATACAGCTAAAATGTTGTTTATTTCTCCTTATCCTCAATACTCCAGAGGTTATACGCTCACTTACACTCTCTGCACCCCTTTTGTACTCAAGATTCAATGCATACGTCCATGTACCTAGAGACGGGCCATCGACCAGGGTTCATAAGATGTCGTCGAAACATTCCGCATTGGGCAATCTTATTTAATAATAATAAATATTTATGATATATGACTTGCTTTTACAAAAATACCAGTACTGTTGTAAATAAATTGGACTCTCTAAACTCAAACTTCTGTCCTTCAGAATACGACATAATAGCTATCACAGAAACCTGGCTCCACGAAGGTGTACTAAATAGTGAACTGTTCGATCCACGAAGGTGTACTAAATAGTGAACTTTTTGATCCACGAAGGTGTCATAAAAAGTGCATTGTTCGATCCACGAAGTTGTACTAGATAGTGACCTGTTCGATCCACGAATGTGTACTAAATAGTGAACTGTTCGGTCCACGAAGGGGTACTAAATAGTGAACTGTTCGGTCCACGAAGGTGTACTGGATAGTGAACTGTTCGGTCCACGAAGGGGTACTAGATAAGGAACTGTTCGATCCACCAAGGTGTACTAAATACTGAACTGTTCGATCCGCGAAGGTGTACTAAAAAGTGAACGGTTCGATCCACGAAGGAGTACTAGATAGTGAACTGTTCGATCCACGAAGGTGTACTAAATAGTGAACTGTTCGATCCACGAAGGTGTACTAAATAGTGAACTGTTCGATCCACGAAGGTGTACTAAATAGTGAACTGTTCGATCCACGAAGGTGTACTAAATAGTGAACTGTTCGATCCACGAAGGTGTACTAAATAGTGAACTGTTCGATCCACGAAGGTGTACTAAATAGTGAACTGTTCGATCCACGAAGGTGTACTAAATAGTGAACTGTTCGATCCACGAAGGTGTACTAAATAGTGAACTGTTCGATCCACGAAGGTGTACTAAATAGTGAACTGTTCGATCCACGAAGGTGTACTAAATAGTGAACTGTTCGATCCACGAAGGTGTACTAAATAGTGAACTGTTCGATCCACGAAGGTGTACTAAATAGTGAACTGTTCGATCCACGAAGGTGTACTAAATAGTGAACTGTTCGATCCACGAAGGTGTACTAAATAGTGAACTGTTCGATCCACGAAGGTGTACTAAATAGTGAACTGTTCGATCCACGAAGGTGTACTAAATAGTGAACTGTTCGATCCACGAAGGTGTACTAAATAGTGAACTGTTCGATCCACGAAGGTGTACTAAATAGTGAACTGTTCGATCCACGAAGGTGTACTAAATAGTGAACTGTTCGATCCACGAAGGTGTACTAAATAGTGAACTGTTCGATCCACGAAGGTGTACTAAATAGTGAACTGTTCGATCCACGAAGGTGTACTAAATAGTGAACTGTTCGATCCACGAAGGTGTACTAAATAGTGAACTGTTCGATCCACGAAGGTGTACTAAATAGTGAACTGTTCGATCCACGAAGGTGTACTAAATAGTGAACTGTTCGATCCACGAAGGTGTACTAAATAGTGAACTGTTCGATCCACGAAGGTGTACTAAATAGTGAACTGTTCGATCCACGAAGGTGTACTAAATAGTGAACTGTTCGATCCACGAAGGTGTACTAAATAGTGAACTGTTCGATCCACGAAGGTGTACTAAATAGTGAACTGTTCGATCCACGAAGGTGTACTAAATAGTGAACTGTTCGATCCACGAAGGTGTACTAAATAGTGAACTGTTCGATCCACGAAGGTGTACTAAATAGTGAACTGTTCGATCCACGAAGGTGTACTAAATAGTGAACTGTTCGATCCACGAAGGTGTACTAAATAGTGAACTGTTCGATCCACGAAGGTGTACTAAATAGTGAACTGTTCGATCCACGAAGGTGTACTAAATAGTGAACTGTTCGATCCACGAAGGTGTACTAAATAGTGAACTGTTCGATCCACGAAGGTGTACTAAATAGTGAACTGTTCGATCCACGAAGGTGTACTAAATAGTGAACTGTTCGATCCACGAAGGTGTACTAAATAGTGAACTGTTCGATCCACGAAGGTGTACTAAATAGTGAACTGTTCGATCCACGAAGGTGTACTAAATAGTGAACTGTTCGATCCACGAAGGTGTACTAAATAGTGAACTGTTCGATCCACGAAGGTGTACTAAATAGTGAACTGTTCGATCCACGAAGGTGTACTAAATAGTGAACTGTTCGATCCACGAAGGTGTACTAAATAGTGAACTGTTCGATCCACGAAGGTGTACTAAATAGTGAACTGTTCGATCCACGAAGGTGTACTAAATAGTGAACTGTTCGATCCACGAAGGTGTACTAAATAGTGAACTGTTCGATCCACGAAGGTGTACTAAATAGTGAACTGTTCGATCCACGAAGGTGTACTAAATAGTGAACTGTTCGATCCATGAAGGTGTATTAAATAGTGAACTGTTCGATTCCTCATATTTAAATCTGTTTCAAAATAATAGGATTTCTACAAACTCAACTAAATCCAATGGCGGGGGGGGGGGTCTCTTTTTGGCTATAAACGAGAATTCCAGGCTGACTTCGAGGGAGTTGAGATAATGTCTATCGAACACAAACTGTATGTTTGTTGTGTGTATCTTTCCCCGGAATGTGACGTTACCTATATACATGAATTACACAAATCTATCGAAAAAGTGTTCGATACTATGAACGAACACAGCAATGTACTGATATTCGGCGATTTTAATCAACCTGAAATTATGTGGACAACGTCATAAACGGAATCCCATCTACAGCCCTAGTATGCGTATGACGACATCCGTTACGTAATGGATAATAACCGAAACCTGGGATTTCTTCTGAATACAACACTGAGATGAGGGCGTTAGCCCGAATCTTTGTGTTGTATTCAGAAGAAATTCCAGGTTGAGGTCATTATCCGACTTAAACCAATGTGCTCCTTTGTCAAAATAAATACCACCGGGCACATAAATACCAGCCGCCACGGTTCACCAGTCACGCACACTGTGCAATGTGTGGAACGGCATAACACGACTGCTCCTTCCCGTAAACAGCCGAGATGTTAGTAATCAAGTAGATATCGTGATGAAGATTTCTATGTCTGAGCTGATATTTTGTTTCGGTGGGCTGTGTATAGGTCTCGCGATCGCTCCCTATAACTATTGTTTATTTCTATTGTTTTGTTTTATAAGAATTCTATTTGTTGAAAACGTTTGTAGAATACAATGTTTATGATAGCATACAAGCAAGCAATTATATCTATATTCAATTTTGGATGCAAAACTAACTAACTTCAGCCTCATATCTATGGTAATAGGGCATATCCGAAACATTTACATTAAATTAGTGTTTAATTTTTGTGTGCATGTTTTGAAGGTAATTTAGCACACATTGGAAATTTTCATCTTATTTTCATCTTGCCGATCTGATAAAATTGTTAGATTACGAATAGAAACATAACTATGTTATGAATTTTGGAAATAATAACTTAAGGAACTAACTGGTTCAATAAGAATTTTTGAAAAGAGAAATTTGCTTCAGATGAAAATTTAACCCCCATCCCCCGCCAACACCAACCCACTCCCTCCCAACTGATTCATAGTCTTGGAGCACATTGGTTATTAAATTAAAAAAATATTCATGGTGAAAACGATATTTTAAAGTGTTTAATAAAAACGTATTTTGTCAAATTGGTTTTTAAATTGTAAAAATAGTCATCTGATTAAAATATTAGAAACAACGAAATAAAAATAATGACCCGTATTTGACGGGATTCGAACTCATTTCAGAGGACTTGTGATTGTTATGAGATACGACCTCACGTGGTCATTCTCCAACGCATGATGGATAACGACTCTGACAATATCCTAAGTCATATATTGGATTCGTGTGAGGGTTAACTTTACCAATTGGAGAACGAAAGTGTTTTTGAAGCAAAATCCAATCGTCTGTACCGAAAAGGAGACAGAAAATGCAGAAAACACTAAAGTACCGGATACATGGAAACTAGTACTGCTGACAGGGATATTGGCTTCTGCTCAGGTAAACGTCGAAAGAAAGATATGTGATATTGCCATTCCTTTGTTTTCACATCAATAATAATTGCTGCTATTTTTGCTTAAAAAATCTATAAAAAATACCGCATCTGTCCAATCACCATGGGCACAGAATAATTGTTTGGGTATAAATGTACGGAACTCGTATACGTTAGTACTCTAAATCAGAGGTAGATTCGTCAGCCGTTAAAAGTTATTTTCTACATTCTTTTTTCCCTGGATCAAAACAGTGGTGGGGGGAGGAGGGGATATCTGATTTATTTTCTTGTTTTCACTTTCGTTTCTTTCGCAGATATAATTAAGGAGAACATGATGTGAACAGAGTATGATTTGATGGTTAACACAGATAAAATATTTTTGAGACCGAAGCAGCAGCCGGTGTTAGCTCTAGTGACACCAACGTTTTGTTAATAGGCATTAAAACCACATGATGGTGACATTGGAAACAATGAAAATATGTCAGAATGACATGAAAGTCACCCCATCATTCTTTATGATAATTTTCCGATAAATCATTGACCAAGCTTCAACGGATATATTTCCACCTGTCAATCAAAATGGTAAACAATAACAGGTGTAAATACATACATGCTGTTCAGATAGCCATGGCAACACAGGGAATTAATAAGAAAGCATGTCGCAAATACAACGTTAGCGTTGACTGACACCTCGAATAC